TACTAATCTGAGGTGAACAGTTCACAAGGTAAGAACAGGCCTGCTTGTGCTTACTTCACCCATCTGTATGAGCAGTTTCACGTTTCTCACCCCATCACATACCCCACCCCACCCTTCCTCTCCTCAGGACCAGCACTGCTTTCTGAGCTTCTGACGGAGTGACGGGATGCCTGGACACAGGCTCCCTGAAGTCCTCCACGGCGCCACTGTGAGCCTGATTGCAGGACAGCGTCTGATAAACCTGTGACAAGGCTCTCGGAGGAAGAGCGGTCTCTGCTCGACAACCACCGGGTCAAGACGATGGGTGTTCTCTCCCCGGACAAAGAGTGGCTTTCTACCCACAGCTCTTGGCACTGAGCAATCATCGGAGCTGGGTCTGAACCAGGACATGGTTCACCGGGCGGCGTCCCCATCCCAGCAGGCACGAGCTCTGTTCACAGCTCTGAGCAGAGGCCTTCAGCCTACTTCCATCTAGGAAGCAGGATCCTTGGTTTTTCTTTCATCCTGGCTGTCAGGCTAAGCCGGTGTCCCAAAGTAGCCAACACTGCCCCCTGGGGGGCACTGCTGGAACGCCCCACGGGCTGCAAAGCAAGCACCAGCCTGGAAGACCCATGAACCTTCACTGCCACAGGGACGCCAAGTGATTCTTTCATGTTTTTCTGAACAGGGTCCAGTACCTTAGGGAACCTAGCAGCTCCCTGGTCTCTGATCGCTGACTGTGCTACTGGACCAAGCAGACGTTCTCCGTGAGCTGCTGGCCCACACACGCAGGGATTACCGTCCACAATCCCTCCCTAAGACCTCAGTGCACTTGGCCTCATGGGGGCTCAGACTCTCCAGCACTCATCATTCTGAGGAGGAATCCTGATACTTTTCTTCAAACAGCGTTAAAACCAGTTTCGTATCAAATAACTAATAGCCATGGACTATGAGCCATCAAATCAGATAAGTAGCCCTGAATCGGGTGGACACAAACAGCTGGAAAAAAACGGATACTGTGGAAGCAGAATTCCACAGCGCACACGCAGGAGTAGGAAGTACAAAGTCCCCGGCTAGCAGGAGAGGGCAGCCACCACCACCACAGAAGAGCAGTGTCGACCACTCTGCATGGGGCGAGGGGGAGGAGAACCGTGGCATTGCAGAGTGAGTGAGTGAGTGAGTGAGTGTGTGTGTCCGCCCCTCGGGGCACATTAAGTACAAATGCAATAGCAGTCACTTTCAGTGGACACACTAACATCGCACAGCACGAGGCCACATACAGCCCCAGCTCTGCAAGACTCCTGCCCACACACACCCCTCAGGAGAAAAAGCGGCAAGCCCAAAGAGGGACCCACCCAAGAATGACTGGCCAGTGCTCGTCAAAAGTGCTGTCTGCGTGGGTCACAAAGACAAGAGCCTGGGCAGAGAGGACCAGAGTGGTTACAATGCTGTCTTCCTTAGACTGGGCAAGGGAGGACAGTGACTTTCAATGACTGCGCAGAGTGTGGCTGGAACCCTCTGAACTATTTCTGAAAAGACTTCAAAATGAACCAGATCCTAGGGCTAGTTTCCACAAGCAGGAGCCCCTCACGCTAAGCCACATTAACTTAGCAGCTCCCTCAATGACAGCAGCCGAGGGCTAACTGCCAGTCACAGAGCCCCAGGTCAGAACTTGGTGGGCTAGAAAGGAGATGAGGGAGGGGAGCCAGCAGATGGGGGGGCGGTGCAGTGTGGCCAAGTGGACCCCACCACCAGGGAGCCGCCTGGACACAAGGTGGCACCAGAGCGACACCCACTGCCAGCCAGTCCAGGCCCTTCTTGCTCATGGCCACCTGCCAAACAGAGGAAAGTGGCCCCTGGGTTCCCGAGGGTAGAATCTACAGAATCTGACCACCTCACCTGTCCCCCAGCAGGCGGGTTCTAACCCTGACCTGTCCCTCGCAGCAGTGTGTTGTAACTACTGTGCCACCAGGACTTCTGCCACACGCAGGAGACCGCCGCCCACACTTGAGCTCCCGTGTATGCCTCTATGGGCCCCTGGAGGGAGAACAGCTCACGCCATCAGCTGCAACCACAAGCTGTTGATTTGAGCCCCTCATAGGTCCACAGCAAGGAAGGCCTGGCCCTCACCCGAGCAGTGTGTGCTGACACCCACTGGGGCTCTGGCCCAGCGTGAGCTCGTGGCTGTCAGTGTTTACTCAAATCTGGCATGGTCCTGGAAGCCCACGCTGCCAGCTGTCTTCATGTGGATGGAGAGCTGACCAGGGGCCGAACCCTTCTCCTGGCAGCTTGAATCTCGTGCTCTTCCGGTGTGGCTCTGTCGACAGCCGAGACCATGAGTACGGCAGGAAACGGAGGAAGCCACATTGCCCCGGGATGCCCCAGCCAGTGAGCCCTGCCTCCTGCCTCATGGCAGGCTGTGCTAACAGCAGGTGGCGAGTATGGCGCACAGGCCTTCCCCGAGACAGCCCTGGCTGGCCAGGGGAGGTGGTCCTACTCCGTGTGGAAGCAGCAGGGAGGGGCACAGTGAGATCCCTGCCCCTCCCAAACTGGGTGGTCGTGGCTATGGATGAAATCTACGACAGGCGAGACAAGTCGCTGACATGGTGCGGAGCCAGTCTGTTTTATCCTCAGGCTTCTCTCCTGTGACAGCTGCCCTGCCTTTACGTGCTCCTCCAACACTGCTGGGAAGTCTGCGTGTCCCTGCTTCACCTGCAGACTAGCTGGCAGAGCCCCGTCCCAGAGCTGCCCCACTAGACTGCTTCTCTCACAGCGTGGCCACAGTACCTGTCTTCTCCTTGACGGGGCTCCAGAGAAAACACCTGCTCCATCATCCAACTGTGTTTAGGAAGTCCAGTCAGGGAAGGAGCCTTCCCTTTCTCACACTCCAGCTGGCCCTCCACATCCGTCAGCCAGTCACCAATCAAAAATGCTTAGGGGGGGGGGGGCTGCTACCAAGCAGACAGGAGTCTCAGCAATGGCCCTCAGGCTGTGCAGGCTATGTGGGGACATAATGACACTTTCCACCGAGCATCGCAGGTCTGCGTATCCATGGGGGCTGGGAGCCCATCCCCCTCAATTCCATGGGGCAACTCCTCAAAGATCGGTTGGCTTCACATTCTCCTTTTCTACATTCCCATCGTCAAACTAGCCATTTTCCACAGGCAAAGCCTCCAGTCTGTGTCGGACTTTTTGGTGAATTCTGACGCTCTGGTCAGTTGACAACAGCCAGTTCCATGTTCAGCCAGTGTCCCTCTCTCTTGTCCTCAGGGCCTATCTTCATTCAAGTGACCAGAACCACATGGGGCCCTCGGCCACCCCTCCTGTGGGCTAAGCCACACCGACACTCCAATGCCCACCTTCGGGGTGTGGACCTCCCCCCAATGGGTGCTGCCGAGTCACATCCCCCAGCAGGACTGTGTTTTCATCAGCTCCCATATCCTGTAAGCCCTCAGAAGCTGGATGGGGGAGACGGGGTGCACACTGGAGAGTGCCTTGACATGTCACGAAGCAGAGGTGGTCCGGAGAGTCGCTGTTTCAAACATGCTCCGCAAAAGCAGACACACACACACAAAGCTACTGGAACCAAGCGGTGCCCCACTCCCGGCACCTTTGATCTTGGAAACGGGCTTACTCCTCTCTGTGGGGCCCACTTCCTCGGGGCAGCTACCCCACTGGCCAGCAACCAGCAGCTCAGTTGCCAGGTACTCGGACCCAGAGAGGGTTGCTCTGCAGTTTGCTGTCCACCGAGAGAGAATGGCCAGGGCCAAGTCAACACGTGAGACACAGAGTACGAGCAAAGCCTTCAGGACACTGGGGCCAAGGGGGGGGGGGG